AGAAGACCAGGTTGAAATGCTACCTGAGAGAATAGAATTGGTGGAAAACCAGATAGGAAAATCAAATATAATAACTTTCCTGTAAGACAGGAAGGATGGTAGGAAAAGAACATTCTTAAAGTGCATTTGGTAGCTTTTGATCCAGTTCTTTTCATTAACAGACTGTAACTCTGACTGTTTATAGAATAAAAACCCATACAAAACATAAAGAAAGGTAGCAAATAGGTGGAATATTTTTTAATGCAGGACTTCCCAAGGCAGACATGCTAGAAAACTTGGATGAATTAGAATTCAAGTTTGTCTTAAATCTTAAGTGCATTTAGCTAAGTTTTAACTTTCAAGTCTTTATGATAATTATAATTGAAAATAATATTTTCTATACAACATGGAATTTCATTCCCTAAAATTTTTCATGGAGCTTTTTCTGAAGATTATTGGAGTATTTTAAGTAAAATGCCAAACATATTATTTTAAATAGAAAACTTATGTGCTATTCACCATGTTTTATGTTTAGAAATTGGCAGAAGCCAATCAGAAAATTAATGATTTTATAGCTATATTTGTTTGCAAGGGGATTAGCTCTAATGGGTTGCCTAAGATTTAGCTTTCTTAATTTGAAACATTATTTCTCCACAAGCAGAAACTCAGCACCATTCTCTTAGATAATTACACTTCATGGTCAAATATATCAGCCTAACCCCTTTAAGATAAAGACGGTATACAAATTCTTCTAATATCACTGCTGCAGAGTGTTGCTCTCCAAAACCAGACTGAGGCAGATATCTGGGGAAAGTAATGCCTCTGGCTGGTGTAGTTTCCTCCAAGAGAGCACATCTGCCAAGGTAAAGATAGTTTGCCTGCTCAGTCACAGGGGTCCCCAATCACACCCACAGTACTTCTTGGTTTGGGACAAAGTGACAAAAGCATAAACTATGATTTGTGTCCAAAGTCAGAGTTTTGCAGGAGCAGAGATTTTGACTCTTACTGGCCCTCTGACAGAAAAGCAGAGGTGAAAATATTCGCTTTTCTGATCTCTGAAACCAGACTAATTAGCTATAATATGTCACTCTATAAACTAGGAGATTACACTTTTTAAAACTTACCTTTCTGGCACAGATCAGGAGCAACAGGGTAAGATACAAACCTAGATATCTACCCTATAGTTGGATATAAAAAAATAGGTACTATTGGACTGGATAGAAAGTCAGTAATAAATATGCATGTGGTTTCATGCAGGAACTAATGGCTTTGCTTTTTACAATGCCCATGGAAAACAATAGTTTTTTAATATTGTCTATCTACATGATTTATATTTCATGCTAGTTCACAAAGGACTCTGGTTAGTATGTGATTTATGGTTGGAGCAAAATAATTGTCTCAAGCCTAGCTGAAGGTAGGCTTTCAACACATTAATAATACATTAGCTAATGTTTCTTCCTTGGCATTGCCTATGCAAATTTCTATTATCATAATAAAAATGACTGTTTGTTTTAGATTGGAAACAGCCTTTAGGTGAGAACATACTTTTTATCAGGTGTCTTGAATAAATACTAACTGCCATTCTCTGATAAACTTTTAACCAGAGCTTTTCCTTTAGTCTCAGCTGGTATTTGGTCAGGGAAGTAGAGGGAGAAACACCCAGAAATTGAGAGGAACTTTCTGTGCTCCTCTTTGACAAGTGTGGTAAAAGCCCACCTTGGCTAGAAACTTCAAACACTGAAAACCATCACTGAAAAATTATTCATGAATGTGAATCATTCACAAACAGTGGACATATAATTTCAGATTTAAAATATATACTGCCTAAATTTGTTCATTTTGTCAAATAATCACAAGTAAAGATAATTTCATTCACATTAATTACTTTCTGTCAGAGGCAAACAGCAATACATATTGTCTCTCCAAAATAGTATTAGATTTGATTGCACCTATGTTAGCTATATCAGAAATTAACTTCTCTGCTTGAAATAATTTGACTTGATTACCTGCTGAATCATTTCCCTTTCCAAATGATGATTTCACACCAGCAGCCATATAAAAAACATGATATTTTTTGCAAATATATATGTCATTTATTCATGTCAATGTATTCTTCAGAAGGAATCATACTATGTCTTCCCTGACACTGCCCACTGAGTTTGTACCTGTTGAGTTTCTGAGATCATTTGACTTCCCGAGATTTCTGAAGAGACAGAGCATTTGGCATGGCTGCTTTGAGGAATCTTCCTTTCTAAGTTGTGACTTTCTCAGCAAATAGAATGCATGCATGTCATGTGAACACAAGAGCATTTTTGTGGGGAAGTAACAAGACAGTTTGTCTGTATTCCTGTGATTCAGAGTGGCCTTGCTATGCATTTGTGCCCCAAGCTGCCCATGGGACTCATATGCAAATGAATATTTGATTATTCTGTCTGGTGCTATACAAAGCAGCTGAAAATAAATATCAGACTGATCATTTTATAAGCTCAGGCTGGCTAATTTACACTCTGGAGACTGTAGAATGAAAATGCTTTTGTATTTTACACATATTTTCCTTATCCTTTATTGTATTTTTCTTGTATTTTGTTGTAATAAAACAAGTAATAACAATGCAATTCATAGACGGAGTTTAAAGAAAAATACACAAAAATAATAAATAATTGGAGAAAAATCTGTTGAAAAATACTATTAGCTATATGATTATTGCAAATCAAAACAATTTTCCATTTTTTTATATGATAAAACAACATACTTAAGAATAAATGGATGATTAGCTTTGGAAATATAGCACCATCTTCAATTTCATTGCCAAGGAATTTTGCACTGTAGAGTTCTGACAAGACATGCATGTTAGGGAGCTGACACAAATTCTGCTGTATCCTTACTGCAGAAATTGGAAAACTAAATAGTGCCCAGGAATGCTGTGTGTTCTGAAACTGCTGCTCTTTCTGAATGAAAAACAGAGCAAATGTAAAAAAAAAAATTGCATTAGTTCTATGTCTGTTTGAGAAGACATGTAATTTTTCTCAGATCCTACAAGTCCATTTTTGTGTAGCTGAGAGGTGGTGAAGAGGGGGCAGGGACTGCATGTGAAACCAGTTCTACAAACTTACAAATCATTCAGGGTTAATCTGTAAGAAAAATGTCTTTTTGTCAGTTAATTGAATAGGATTATATACTTTTCTGGTTGGCAATTGAAAGGAAATGTTCCTCTCCTTTTTGATCCTTCAAGAGCTTTCTGTACTTTAAACAATCACTAGTCTCATCTTGAACAAAGCTTTTGTTTAATATGTGGCAAGGTGTCTTGAAAGAATTCTCTCGTAGGTATATCCCAGTTTTCTCCATAAAAATCACTGAATATTCTGACTTGACATATCTTTAAAAAAGAAATTAAGGAGGAAGGAATATTCTGCCCAAAAGTAGGAGTTCAAACTCATCCTTTTGATCCTTCACTAGAAATACCAAGGAAGCCACAATTATATATAGGCTAAGTATTTTTCTCTATTCCTTCAGATGACCATATCTTCTATTAAAAAATGCACAATTATATAGAAATTTTTGTTTGGATAAATAAAATGCAGAGTCTCTATTCCTAGCAGTTGTTCCAAAATTTGCATAATTGGGAACTGAGTTGCTAGAAAATAAATGGATAGGTAAGCTTCCATGTGCTTCACTAATTGTTATTAAATTAAGAAAAAAAGATTGACAACAAATAACAAGGGTTATTCGAGGGAAAGGGAATTCTCTTGGCATAGTCTTGTGATTTTCACACTCATTAGACTTGAATGTAAATCTAAAAGCAGTCAATGAAAATGCAAGATCATGATGTTAAGATTCTGTTTTGTTATTTTTAAATGGGATACCCTGCCCAGTTGACAGTGGACTAGCAAAAATAATTTTGTACCCAGTTGTATGACAGTGGACTAGCAAAAATAATTTCGTACCCAGTTGTACCCTTTAGGTACTGGAAGAGTACTACAAGGTCACCCTGAAGCCTTCTCTTCTCCAGGCTGAACAACCCCAACTCTCTCAGCCTTTCCCCATAGGAGAGATTCTCCATCCCACTGATCATGTTCATGGCCCTCCTTTGGTCCCTGTCTAACAGGTCCATGTCTTTTCTATGCTAAGGACTCCAGAGCTCGATGCGGTACTCCAGGTAGTTTTACAAAGTCACAAAGTTTTCCCTTATAATTCCATCACCCTGTTGTCTGTTGATTTTGAAAATCAGGAATAAATCTAACAAACTTTCAACTACGGAATTATGTTAGAATTATGTTCTATCACCCCAGCCTGGAGCACACCACATACTGCAAATTCCTGTTTCAGAAAACCTCAGGGCAATGGTGCAATAGAATGTAGATATCCAGCAAAAGAGGACGTGAAGCTTTCGTTAAGCTTATCATACCAATCAAACTTTTCCCACGGAAGGTGCTTATTGAGCACAATTTTATGTAACAATAGTTATGCACTATCTTGTCAATCCCATATATCTGCAGTTTTTCTTTCTCAAGCAGCTTAGGTCCATTCTTGTCCACTCTACTTTATATGTAACCAAATAAAATAAAATTTCCTCGGTTTTCTTCCTCTTCCTAATGTCTCCGAAACATTATGTTTTCTTTAGAAGTCATTCTGCTAGGTCCACCTCCGTGAGCAGTAATTAAACACATGGTCATCACTGTGGAGAGCACAAAAAGCCTGTGTGTGACAACTTATTTTTCAACTTCAGATGCATTCGTGCCTTCCTTTTCTTTTTTCTTCCTTCACTTCTGTAGCTTACACATTGTTTCATTAAGTTTGTTGTACTGACACAACAACACCGCGTTTGCTGATGGGCGTCTACGCTGCTTCCCGAATGCGCGATGCTGAAAGATGCCCTCCCGGGCCGTGTTCCCGAAGGGATCTGCCACCGGAGCCGGGATGCCGCGGCCGCAGCCATCCGCCAGCATGGAGAAAAGTGGGCAAAACCGAGGCGGCCGAGGAGCCCGCCCGCGCCGCGTGTCACGCCCGAGCTCTGCCGGGCCCCGGAGCGGCCGCCACCCGCCCGGCGGGGCGGTGCGGAGCGGAGCGGCCGCGGGAGGAGCGGAGCGCGGCGGCTGCCGCTGCCTGGATGCCAGAAGCGCCTCTGGAGCCAGCGGCCGGCGGCACCCGGGAGGGCCCGGGAGGGGAGGAGGAGGAGAAGGCGACGGCGGCGGCGGAGGACTCCGAGCGCGGAGAGGAGGAAGCAGGCAGCGCTTGCCATGGCCTCCAACTTTAACGATATAGTCAAGCAGGGCTACGTAAAAATCCGCAGCAGGAAGCTGGGGGTGAGTTCTTTTTCCCTTCGCCGGCCCTGCCCGGGGTGGGGGCAAGGGGCTGGGCATCACCTCGTCGGCCTGGGGGGCGGTGGTGCCCCGGGCCGGGGCCGCCAGCGTGGGGCGCGGCGACCTGCTGCTGGTGCTGCTGCCGCTGCTGCTGGAGCTGCTGCTAGTTCTGCTGGGGCTGCCGCTCCTGCTGGAGCTGCCGCTGGGGCTGCTGCCGCTGGCGCTGCTGCTGCTTCTGCTGGTGCCGCTGCCGGGGCTTGGACTTCGCTGCCGGCTCCGGAGGGGTCGGTGGGGTTGTGCTGCCAATGTGCCTCGCAGAGAGCCGGCTGCTCCCCGCTCCGGGAAGGCGCCGCTCCTCCCTTCTCTCTCAGCGATCGCCCGCCAGGGTCACTGTCCGCGAGAAGCTGCTCCCCGTGCCCCTGTCCTCCTCGAGTCCCCCAGCCCAGGGCTGACGCACCCCTTTGGCCGTCCCTGTGCTCCCCTGCCCCTCGCCTTGCTGCCTCCGGCAAGGGCTTGGGTGGGGAGAGGAAGGCGCAAGCAGGAGCTGTAAACTTTGTGTACAGATTCTCCCTCTCTCTATCCTTCCCATTTCGGAGAGGGATGTTTTCAATCGGGGCAGGGTCAGAAAACACTCTGCTGATACCGGAGTAACCGAGAAAAGCAGGCGTGGAGATGTGATGGTGCGCTGCCCTCGGGCACGGGGGACTGGGGAATGGGAGCTTGCAGCGCTCCGGGGATGGACAGGGAGGCAACGGGGTGACAGCCTCATGAACCTAAAGGCAGATACAGAGGCTGACAGTGATTAAAACTAGGGGCAGTCTCTTAGGTGAGGGCGGCTGTTCGCAGCGCCCACCGGGATGCTCAGCGGCGCCGCGTGTGCTGTCAGACTGGCCATGGGCACTTTCCCTGAAGGGGTGCAGCAAATCTTGAAAAGTGAAGTTGGAGCAGAGTGTGTGCAGAGGTCAGGATTTTCTAAACTTCAGTCGGTCCCGGGCATCATAGGTTTGGGCTGTCTCCTACCTTTTGTGAGCGAACAGGAATGCTTGCTTGCGCAGGTATTGATGTTGCCAGTAATCCTGAAAGGTCCAAGTCCCTGTTGCCCTGAGGCTGGGAAGAGGTCTGGGGTTCTTTGTGTTCACTTTTAAGGTTTTCCTTCAGGTGTGCAGAAAAGTGCAGTGTCTCCACCAGCTCTCCCTTCCAGGAAGGTGGTCCCTCCCTGCTTCCCCTGAAACGTAGCAGCAGGGACCATGTGAAATCAGCCCTCCTCCAAGTCGTGCTCTGTGAGCTTATCACAGTGCTAATATTTATCTCCTCCTCCCCCTCTCTCCCTTCCCCCCCAGATGCTGTGCATTGCTTGCAGACACAGTGTGCAGGATGGTGGGACACTAATCATGAATTGACCTTTGGAGCACTTTGGTGACTTGGCAGGGTTGTTAATTTCAAAAGAACGCAGGAAAGTTTCGACCAAACCCGTAATAGCCTCAACTACAAATGTTTGAGAGATGGTGTAAATTCAAAGAGAATGGATGCTCTTAATGATTTTGCAACCCCAAAGTCACTCTGTGTATCAGTCAAGCATTAATCTTATCTGAAGAAGCAATTTCTAAGCCTCAGTTTGTTTCTGGCAGTCCTCTGCTTAACCTTTGCTCATCAGTTTTTCCCCTGCTCAGCAGTGTTATTGGATGGGCCCAACACAAAGCAGGGAGATGATGGTATCCCATCACCTTGATGTTAGTAGCTGGAAGCAAAGTTAATCTATTTGCTTTGCAAATCTGGCTTTGAAGCCATCTCAAGTGTCCTTTAAGTGTGAAATTATGTATATGCATATCTCTATGTATGCAAATACTTTTACATATCTATGTCTATATCATACGTGCAACAAATGTAGAGTTCATATTGCAGGAATCTTGGATGATACTTGCTGACCTGTGTAAAAAATTTGTGAAGAGAGTGATATTTCATTTTATGTAGCTTGAATATTTTGTTTTGAAGATGTCATCTGATTTTTTAAGGGAGACACATAAAACTTTTTTTTGCATAGATGTTTTCCATGGTCATAATGATTATCATACCTCTACACTAAGCAGAAGGGAAATTGTTCATATGGTGTCTGTGGAGGATTTTCTCCTACTGAAGTGTGTGAGGGTGACAATTCAGACTATACAGCCTCAGGCAGGTGGTAGTATAAGCTTAAATATGACATATGGAAATGCACATGTGAATAAATCTATTAAATGAAATTTAAAAGGGATTATATTTTATAGAAAATAGCATCAAAATTCAAATGAATATGATGGTTGAAAGCTATGAATATGTGTGTATATATCCATAGCTAATTGGATTCTCGTGACTGAATATATAAATTAATTCAATTATTATTCACCCAGTGAAACATTAAAGGTTTTTCTTTTTTTCCTTTTTTCCCTTTATATCTGTCTCCAAGTCCAAACCTTAATGACTTGCACTGGAGCCATCATAATGTAGGTGGATACTTCAGTCTTCAATAATATAAATGTCTGCTAGAAAATGAGTATTTTTAACTTCCAAAAATACAAACATACTGAAAAGATGGAAGATATAGGTTCTGGAAACTAATAGTAAGACATTTTTAACTTCCAAAAATACAAACATACTGAAAAGATGGAAGAGAGCTATAGGTTCTGGAAACTTTTTAAATATGGCAATAGAATTTTATCTCTTGCTATGTTATGGGTAGCTTTTTTTTGGGACATAATAGTCTACGTTCTTTGAATATTTCAAAGTCTCCTGAAAAGCAGATTGATTAAAACTTGGAGAGCTGAGGTGTCTAATACCAATTTTAGTGCTAGACTTGGGCAATACAACTAATTCTAACCTTTAGGCTGATAGCCAATTTGTTATGGAAATTCTTCCAATTCAGCTTTTATTTTGTTTTGTTTTGTGACTGAGGGAGCCCTGGCTAGGAATCAAATGTATACTTCAATAGTATATTTTCATTTTATTGAAAAAAACCCACAACAACAAACTTTCATTTAGGGAGACCTTTCTGGTAGAATTTACTTCTTTAAGAATTTAATTTACAGAAAACCAAGTAGTAAATCTTAATCTAATTATAAAATAGAAATGCTCATTTATTTTTTAAATGTATTATGTTTACTTCTGATGTTTTAAACCTGTACCTTGCTTTAAGTACTTGTTACCCTGTCTTCCTACTCCCCACATACCTTCAAATTCTATTCATTGTATTCATGAAGTTGGGACTCAAGCTGTTTTCCCATCAGTAATTGATTCTGTTCAGAAAAGTGATTTGAAGACAAAAATGATGCCTAAATCATGGAAATACATGGCAAGAAGAACTGCAAGAATTTGTCCTTACTTTTTTGTTTAGTGATACTTGATTATTAACTTTTATTTTGCCTGCTTTTCAGTGTAATCCTTACGTGCTTGTTTACAGAAATTAATTAATAAGTAAATTGTAAGTAAATAAGTCAATTGTTCTGACAGTCCAGTATTTTCAAGTAGACCTCATTGTTCTGATTACTTTATGATGCTAAAGTTGCTTTTGTTGTAAGGTTGGATAGTCAGCTGAGGAGATTTACCAGCCACTCTGTTGATGTATTCTGACACTGGGAGTATCATGGTTTCTGCCATGAAGATATCAGGCCACAAAGAGACATCCAGCCACTCTGAACACTTAGTCTGTCTCCTTACTTTTGTTAGGCATGAACTGTACTTGAAACCTTTCTCTGGTGCCTTGAAATGTCAAATATATGTTCAAGGCTATATGCAGTAGGCAAGCTCATGGGTATTCATAATGTCTTCATCAAGGTATCACGGTGTCTTTGAAACTTAGAAACTGTAGTCATTGAGGATGACTGTAATGAAAACATCTTTATAAAATCTGTTTCCCTGAAGCCTAAATATGCCTTTCTTTTCAGTGCCCTGGCATTCCCACATTGTTTGATATTTTGCTTTTCTCTAATACTGCATAAAGGAAATACTCATTCTAGCAGCCATTACATTTGATCTGTGTGACCCTTCTTTGAAATAAATTTGATTGTGATGTGGTCTGCTGTTCAGATCAGAATAGGTCATTTGTGTAGTGTGGAACAGGACTTTGTTGCCTTTGTTCTTTTGGACTCTTTCGTACTTGTGTCACATTAAAATTCATATGACACAATTTTGTACTGCGCTGACTGTGCTTATAGGCTGAAACTTTCTTGCAGCAGATTGGAATCCCTTTGTTGCCTCCTAATAAACTAAGCTGTGAGGATTTCGTGCCTTGCTGAAGTGCCGTTTCTCAGAAAAAACCCCACAATTTGATGTCACATTAGGAAATCTAAATAAAAATGAACATTGTGTCACTTTGATAGTCTTGTTTTGACCCGTATCAACCTTCGAAGTCATAATCTTACTGTTTGTTTGTTTTTGTCTTTTTTTGTCATGCCTCAGCCATAGAATGAAGGAATGATATCTCTTGGAAATTTTCACTTCTTTTGTTAATAATTACTTATTTTTCTGTGTTTCCACACACTAAGTGGGATTATTTTCTGGGTGCTTCAGTTTATACTCTAATATAGCTATCCTGAGAGAAAATTGTACTTGCCAGTCAGTCTTGATTGAGTAATAAATAGTAGGTTGCTCTTAGTCACCAAATTAGAAGTTTTACCTTATAACCTCCCCCTATTTTTAACCATACTTTTAGATCATTACAGGTGCCTTTTCTGTAAATGAACACAGTGTTTCTCCTTCTGCAGTTAACCCCATTTTCAATCAATCAGGGCTAACAATGCTATGAATACGAACCACTGATTGCAGTGTGGTTCCTCTTGAAATAATGCAGTCTTACAAAATCCTAACATTCAATTGATGTTGTGTGTATATTTGGGGTGAAGAAAGAAAGGGGACCTGCAAAATTTCTTGGGTTTGAGATTACATTGATTGATCGCACTGGCTCTGCAAGTGGGTCGTGATGAATACAGAGGGCAAAGTAAAGGTTCTTCTATTTCTTTGAGTTGCCACAG